GCAAGGAAGAATGATAAGAACATTTAAAAATAATAATAAATAAATAATATAAAAATAAAGAATGACGCAAAAAGATAAAACTCACGAAAGTGACTATAAAGAACAAAATGAGAACAACGCCACAAATTATTTATATATGTTGTAAGTGGAAACGGAATTTAAGTGGATCCCGTTTTTGGGGTTGATTTTATCATATGTACACCCTAACCCTAATTTAACTAGGAAATTCCAAATCCACTTAAATTCTATTCCCACTTACAACATATACTGTATATAAATTAGTAATAAAAGAAATGCCATATACGTAAAAAAATTTTTTGTTATCTATCTGTATATGGTTTTAAATAGTGAATTTGGAATTGTTAATAAAAGCATAACTTTAGGGTAGGATCAGATATGTTCAGTGTTCACAAAGAGCATAAATTTTTTAAAAAAATCAAAGTTTTATTTTATGTTCACATTTTGTGAACATAAATAATTTTTATCTAATTAATAAAATTTTATTTATCATACTGTCTTATGAATTTCCAACACTGGGTAGGATTCACGAAATTAACGTAATTTTCAGTAAATTAATTTTCTCATGTGATTCCGACATTACAAAAGTTACCTTTTTTGTGGCGATGCTGGGGAAAAAAAATGAGGCTGGCTTATGTAGGGGTGACACAAACAAAACAATAAGTATACGTAGAATATTTATCAACGCATGACTCAATATTTGTATTATCTGATCTTGATTCTCAAGTCGTGATTTGCTGAGTTTTAATTCGAATAAATGATTACGACATAACACACCAAAAAATAACCATAAGAGTTTGCCGGATAACAAACCAATTCTCTTAAAGAAACCGACTAAATTTAATATAATCTAATATAATTGTAATAATATTTTATTATTTATTGTTTATTTTATAAAATTTTATGCTATCAAAATGATGCATTGGTATATACAAATATGCATTTCAAAGAAGATTAATTAATAAATAAATTTGAAACTATTCTACAAAATGAAGGTAATAAATTTTATATCCATAGTTATATGATAGATGATGATCGTAAAATCCCGTGATGGTTATTAATGTTATCGAAATGAAATTACTCGGTAATAAATGTTAATAAAGTTAAAGGTATAAAGGTATAAATTTAAAAAAAATATTACAGAAAAGAATCAGATTCTTCCAATTCCAATTTAAAAGTGGTTTGGTAAACTTGTTCGGTAACTTGATCTATTGCAGTAGCATCAATTTCCATTTTACCGAAACGAAGTGAAAATAGTACTGGCCTTTCCATTCCATGAAAAGTATTTTGAAAATCAATTTTAAGTTCACCAAGAAATCTCATCCCAGCTTCGTCGCAATATGTTGCAGTTTTTTTACGAGTAATGTATATTCGATAAGTTCTCGTTCTTTGCTTTTTAGTGAAAGGTACGAAAACTTCAGAAAATTCTTGATCGACCTCGACTATTTTAAAAAGTGAAAATCGAACGAGTGAATTAAAAAAGGTTTATTTTATTTTATTTTTTTTTTGGAAATTTTAAAAATAAAAGTTCAATAAAATACCTGTGGTTCCACGTGTTGCCATTTGATGGAATTTAAAAATTCTTCCCTTTGGAGTTCTTCTTTCTGGAGGATCACCTGGTTGCCACTCAAAAGCGAGTTTAACACCATAAGAATATTTTAATACTCTAGTTTTAATAGTTTTCATGTTTAAACCATATTGAACTGCACCACGAGCAACTGCAGTAAGAGGTTCTTTCGGAACCAAAATATGAGGAATATAATTGAAAGCAGATCTTATTCTGGTTTGTAAGTATTTTGACTCACTGAAGCCACCAACTAAATAAATAGCTGCACAATCGCTATGAGAACTATTTAATTGTAAACTTATTAAATTGATTATTTGACTAATTACTGGATCAAACATTGCTTTAACGGTATAAAAATCAATATCTATTATCCATTCATCTTCTTCCAATTGATCTCTTAAAGAACCTTGAACATATTGTTTAATAGCAGGGCAAAATTCGTTAAAATCAAATTCGAAAATGTTGAATCTTTCCAAATCACCAGTAAAAACCGTTTTAACAAGTCTACAAAATTCTTGAACCATATATTGAAATTGACTATAATGATTTTTTTGAAGTAATCTGAGAGCTGAAGCACCAACTATACGTTTAATAAATTTTAAAAATTCTCTGTCAACATAGGAACTACCATAAAAACCACCAGTACGTTCAGTGATTTCCCCCAATTTATTTCCTCTCAATAATTTTCTGGTTGTAAGATCTATAGTACCTCCCCCACAATCGACTAATAAGAATGTTCTTCCAACTGGAAATTCATAACATTCTTTTAACGTATCTATACAATATATTGCAGCAGCTTCGGCTAAAATAATTAACAATAAATATTAATACAGTAATATAAATATTAATAATATTAATATACTGTAGGTTAAAATAAAAAGATACATACGTTCTGTAGTAAATTGTAAATTTTGAGAATTGGGTGTCTCTATTAACTCTGCGTTATATATACCTAAATAATATTTATTATTACTAATAACTTTAAAAAAAAAAATTGAGAAATTTAAATAGCATAGTATTCAAGATAAAAAAAAATCTTACATTCTCTCATTATTCCTTTTACTTTTTCAGAAAATTCGGCAGGAACCGCAAATACCAGTAGAACATTTCTTAAAAAATCAATGCCTGGCCAACGTTTGTCTATGGTATCTTTTACCACCTACAAAACAAAGAGATAAATTGTGTTAAAGTAGATTTTTAAATTATGTACGGTGCAGGATGTCTTAACAATTTTGTTAATTTTTTTAAAAAACATTTTTTTTTGGCTCAAATGTAGAGACGAAATTCTAGTTAAATTACCAATGGAAATTTGAAAATTTTACCTCTACAATAATTTAAAAATAATTGTCAAGACACCCTGGACCATATCATTGAAGCATACTAAATATAATAATAATACATACTATGCCTTTATTTAAAAATGTTAAAAGGATTTATAAAAAAAAAAATTAAAAAAAAATAATAATGATTTGAAAAAAAATATATCTGAAAGCGATTTATATACCTAATTCTCTGAGATAATCAGTTATTGCTTGTTTATAATGCAAATTTTCGGGTAATATCGGTTTGTCATCATCTGGAATATCACCCAAATGTAATTTAAATAATTCAACGTGTATCGAATTATTCGATCTTTGTGGACGTCTTTTACTTGGTTTCTCAGCCAATGCTGTAAAATTTTTAATCGAAAATATTTATTATTAAAATCATCGATAAGGTCAAATTTTTAAAAGATATAATTTTTTTTTTTTTTACCAGAACGACCCCACGCTTTGATTTCACTTAAATCATTGTCATACAATAGTGCTGTGTTAGTTTTAAATTGACCTACATGGTCTGGCCAAATGTTGTTAGTCGATATTTCGGAATTTACTTTGTTAGCATAGGCAAAACCCTATTTGAGAATTAAATACGTAATAAAAAGATAATGAGAGTTGAATTTATTAAGATTTTATAAGAATGGAAACAAGTTATCTTAATGAAAAAATTATCTTACTGAAAATGTGGTTCCAAAATCTACATAAATGAAAAATCACTTAATGTTAAACTCGTTCAAATAAGTGGGTAAAAACAATAATGATAACAGAATATATGACTAATATATTCACCTATTCCAACAACAATTCGGATATCTCTTAGAGACATTATTAATATCAAGGAATTAAAATTAAAAAAAAAAAAAAAGAATGTACTAAAATTATGTATTTACAGACTACGTAAATGATTTTTGCTCTAACAAAAAAAAAAAAAAATAGTAAAATATATATATATGCTTCGGACGTATTTGATCATAACTCCGACTTTGTCACTCAGTGATTGTTTAACTACTTTAAACAACTGTATAATTGGTCATTGTCTGGAAAGATCTCTGTGGCTGTGGCACCTTATAGCAAAGAATTTCAATTTACTATATACTGTACGTATATTTTGCACATGTACGTACGTACGTACGTACGTACATATCTCATATATACTGAATTTTTATTCATTGTTAATAAAATTACAATTCATGATACATATTCTTAGTGGTGCATGTTTATAACGACAATATAATTAGGCATAATCATTATGACCAGAAATCTCATCTGAAGGAAATGCGCCGTCACACGAGTTTCTTCCCGCAAGTATATACGTACGTACGTACAGTACGCACGTATTGTACACAAACACTACAGAACACGTATTAATTAACGAGTTTCATTCTCAAATTAGAAAAAGATATAGGTCGTTTGGCAATCGGTATGTATTAAAAAAACAAAAAATCATATGGTGCTATCCAACTTCGGTGGATCTTATTTTCACGACACCCATTTTACCTACAGCCCATTTAACCGAAATCGCATAAGGTTAGGGTTAGCATTTTATTAGTTGTAGTTAGTTGTAGATATATATTAATAGTAAATTGTCACCCGTGCGATGTCGCTTTTAGGTAAAACGAAAATGAGTGTCGGCAAAATCGAAATGGTGTGAATCCATTAAACTTAAATACGTACTAAATTCACGTATACATTTTGTCAAGCATACGTATTCAAACTTACATGCGTACACTATCTGCTAAGGATGGGAACAGGGTTTAAACGACTATATTGAAATGCCGGCCATTCAAAAGTGTCATTCTTGATTTATAGTATATTAGAAACTAATTTGCTGGTATAAAATGTACACTACACTAATTTTGATGAATCAAAAAAATCACTTTAAACAATAGCAGTGGCACAGTAAATGGCCGGCAAACTAATATAGTCGTTTAAGCCCTGGATGGAAACCGCCTAAAATTTTTATAATTAATTTAATCGTTTAATTCAACCAGTATTGAAATAATTCGGGTCCATATCCATCATAATTCAGCCTGGAACTATAGGGGGTTTCATAATTAATAATTCGACATCCGATTTTAGATAAAATAAGTGACGTATTTACTTCAAAATGCGTGATACATAAATTCTATTACTATATTTACTTCATCATTTACCGGCCAATTTTATTAACGTGTGCGCCTATTTAATTCATTGAATCAGAATTTTAAAAATAGACGTAGGGTTTTTTAAACTCCCACTTATTTTCAAAAGATATTAATTATGAAACCCCTTTATGGAACTATCTACTATTAGGGATGGTAAAAAAAAAACAGTTTAACCCATTTTTTCACCTGTTTAAAACATGTGATGATTAAAGTCCGAATACTGATTGAAATAAATGCTCCCCCTGTTTTTTAATTTATCTTCACATGTTTTTAATTACGTAATAAAACTCATTTGCTACTATAGATGCAATTTAAAAATTTTTGCATTTTTGGAAATGGGCAAAAATTAAAAACTCCGAATTACTACAGTATATATTTGATAATTACATGTATATACGTCAACCATATGACGCATTTATTAAACTGAACCCCAAAACAATAAAACTAATATAATTAGCACGCCAAACCCATCTCTCATCTCTTCTTATAGATATAGTCAAATGATTTGACTCACGTTAAATACCTATCATAACTACGTCATAAATTTAGGGTAGTGTAAAAAGTTGCTCTAATGTTTTAACATGAGCGAATCTATATCATCTTGGGTATAACAAATTTTTATAAAAGTATAACTTAATTTATTTTTTGATAGTAAATTAATAATGATTTATTATGATCTGTAACAATTTTTCAAAAGTAACCAGTATCGAATATTATAAATTAGTCATTTTATTGTGGGTTAAATATTTCGTGCTAGAAATTTTTTAAACATTATGAACTAAGAATTCTTTAAGATTATGAACTTGGCATGTAATGTTCTACTGGATGTCTGTTTGCTGTGAGGATCCTGATTTTTTTAATAGATATTCGTAATGGATATTCATAATGATTTCATTCCTTTAAATTTTATTTATAATTTTCCTTGGTTATTATAAATTTAAAGTATTCGATCAAAGGCTTTACGAGTCAAGGAATTATAGTTTGTGAATCCATAAGTATTGCATACACGACAGAAAATAACTACCATATTTTCACGAAATGATACCTATCCACGCGTTATTTTGATATATGTGCATTATTTTAAGTACACGCTTACGTGAAAAAGTGATATTTTTTTTATACTTCATCATTATTAATATCAGTTTAATCATAATTATTCTTTAATCAGATAAATGTTATATACTACAAAATGTTTACTCCAAAATAAATTAATTTTCTAATCTATCTATCTCTTTTAATAAAATTTTTTTTAGTCCATGAATTATTCATTGTCTAATTTTATTATTCATTATCTAATTTTTGAATTGCCTTTTTCTTATTTTTGTTAATTTTTGGATTATCTCTTGTAATATTTTCGAATTTTTGAGATAACTCATCTTTATCTTCATATAAATTTACAATTTTTAATAGCATATTAGGAAGAAATGATATTTCAATAGTATTATCCCAATTATTATTTTGTATTTTATAAGCTATATCGTAAAATTTATCAAGGCTAAATCTGTAAAATCTTTAAATATTACGCATAATTAATATTAAAAATTATGTAAATACGTAGTAATGGGACCTCCTGAATTATTAATAATTAATAATAGTTATTAATTATTAGCCCGAGTTATTAACTAAAAACTACTTAATAATGTATGGCGCAGCTAAGGCGCAGCTCTTTAGTATTAGTAACACGCAAGCATATGAAAAATATGCCAATATTTCCGTATATTTTTTTTAATTTAATACTCGGATACGTTCTTAT